TCATGGCGCCGCCGCGGCGGCGGAGGCCGCGCCCGGGCTGCCTCCCGGCGGAGCGGGGTTTCCGGCCGGCCGGTGGGCCCGGCCCGGCGCCCGCGGAGGGGCAGGAGCAGGAGCGCAGGGAGAGGAAGGCAGGAAGCGCCGGAGGAAGCGCAGCAGCGACGCGGCCGCCGCTCGTTACGCAAGTTCCCGCGCACCGTGCGGCGCGCGCAACCCCGGCGGGTGAGTGGGGACCGCCCCCGCCCCTATCAACGGCCGCGGGGGGGGGGCGGAGTCGGCCGGGGCGGCGCATGCGCACGGGGGCGGGGAGGGAGCGCGCAGCTGCTGAGGGGCGGGGCCGAGCAATCTGCTACAGTGAATCATCAGCTGAGTGAACCCGAGCTTTAGCGTTTTCTCACCCACAGCTATAATAAACTCTCACCTAAAACTATGTAACTCTCATCCAAATAATATATCATAATGTATTAGGTGATAATATATTTATCAGCTGAATAATTCATTCATTCACGGGTAGGCTTCACGAACGAAGATTTGAGAAGGGCTCTACCCACATTTTCTACAAGCGCGCTGGTGGCTAAAAAGGCCAATACGAGATAGACAAGACCGGTTGCAAAAGGCACAGCAGAAATATACTCTCTCTCTCTATATATATATATATATATATAAAATAAACTCTCACCTAAAACTATGTAACAGTTCTGGTGCCCCCGACATAAGGAGGACACAGAACTGTTGGAGCAAGTCCAGAGGAGGGCCAAGAAGTTGACAAGAGGACTGGAGCACCTCCCCTACGAAGACAGGGCGAGGAAGTTGGGGCTGTTCTGCCTGGAGAAGAGAAGGATGTTTGGAGACCTCATAGCAACCTTCCAGTGTCTGAAGGGAGGCCGCAGGGAAGCCTGAGAGGGACTCTTCGTCAGGTACTGTAGTGATAGGACAAGGAGTATCAGGTTCAAACTGAAAGAAGGGAATTTTAGGTCAGATATTAGGAAGAAATTCTTTACTGTGAGGGTGGTAAGACACTGGAACAGGTTGCCCAGGGAAGTTGTGGATGCCCCAACCCTGGCGGTGTTCAAGACCAGGTTGGATAAGGCCTTGAGCAACCTGGTCTCATGGGAGGTTTCCCCGCACATGGCAATGGGGGTTGGGACTAGATGATCTTTAAGTTCCCTTCCAACCCTTAACATTCTATAATTCTATATTGGGTCATTCACAGCAGCTATAAATTTAATCCATAAGCATGAGAGCCTTGTCACTGAGACTCCATGCTCTAGAAAATGAGTCTCCAAATATTGTAGCAGCTGTGGTGAGAAACTTTTATTTTCCAGGCACTGTGAATACTACAATTAAACAAATAAGCTCTAAAGTACATCTGGGACCATGGACCAAAAGATGACAAGATCAGCAACCCTCAAGGCAGGACAGATTTGCAAGTTTGGTGGCTTGGGGATAGTGGTCCCGTGGTGAAATTCCCAGCAGGCAGCCTCAGATTCTACTCACTGGAATTAGCCATATCTCCTGCCAATTCAGACACTTTGGTCAAAATGAGACCACTGGGCTCTGTTTCTGAAGAAGTATCATTAAAAATTCCTCCAGTTCTCAATCTCAGACAACCCATTGACAGCCATATGATTCCTGCTACATCTAAAAAATACTGATGGCCCTACAGCTCTTACCCTCTTTGCAGGAAAAATAAGGAAACATAGCCAACTTGTTCTCGTAAGGAGACCACTAGCATCCATGTAACACCTTGACTGAACAAATTGAGTCTCTATTTATTATTTCTTCTATTAATGGTGATTTAGCCATTGGATTTAATTCCTAAAAAAGGATTTTTTTTTCTCTGTACTTTTTAATGATGTGTCTACAGCTGGGGTTACTAACCAGTTTATTATCTGCACCTGCCAGGCTAAGTAATAAAAGTCTTCGTGCTGGTGCACTTAGTTTACTCAGTTGTCTCACTGGAGAACATTACTGCTCTTCAGCTGATGGGGAGGCATGGGCAATTGCCTTCATACAGAACAGGTCCAGTACTTCAACACTGGTCACTGTTTTGCCCATCCCTGTGGAAGTGGCACCCCCCATGCTGTCCCTGGTGGTCACAACATCGGGCAGGACAGCATTGAATCTAGTCTAGTGCTATCCATGCAACCAGACTGTCAGCTCAGGTCACTACCTATCCATGGGAACAGAGCACAAGGCTTGCCACTGCAAGAAGCAGAATGGCTTAGGCTCATCTTCTTCCCCCTACAGCAACATCCATTGGGCTTTCTGGAGTGCTCCCTACTGTTAGCCTAAGCAGGGGCTTCTAAAGGAATCTCTCTTGCCCACACATGATTGATTGATGCAGCAGAAAGGGGGAAAGCTTCTGAGGCAACCATTCCCAAATCCCAGGCTCACAGTGTCTTTGAGAGACTTTGTAGGGGCATGGGTAAAAAAAACAGTAATAGACCTTGCCTCTTTCAGGAAATTATGCATAGCTATGCCAAATATTTATAATACCGATGGGCCAGGACAGGAAATGAGTTTCAACACCAGACGTGTAATTGTTCAGGCTGTCTAATTGCTACCTTGCTCTCTGGCTCTGCTTTGCAACTTCTTTTAATTAATCCTCTTCATGATAATGTCCAGGGGTATTATTCTAATGACAGTTCACACCACAGACAGCTCTCAGGAGAGCTGTATGGATTTAGGGAATTCTCCACTTGAGATAGGACCCCAATAATAACAAAAACATTTTCGCTATGAGGGTGATGAAGCACTAAAACATACTATCCACAAAGGCCTGAGAAATCTCCTTCTGTGGCAACACTCACAGGCTTGGCTTCTGTACTGATCCAACTCTGAGCAGATGCCTGGGCTAGCTGATCTCTAGTGGTCCCTTCCAACGAATATTCTTCCATGCTTCATCAGGCTTTCAACTTTTGAGTACCCCAGATACTCTCAGCACTACATCGTGGGATCTGAGAAACACCTGCTTGTGTTCTTGAAACAGAAACCACTGCCTTGGTGAACGGTAGCACAGCGTTCGCCATCAGGAACTTGGAAATGGAAAACCCACCCTGTGTCAAGGCCCAGGGCTGCCAGAGTGGAGAGCAGACCCAAGGCCACTGTGCTGTAGATGGATGTAACCCCAAGCAACAGGGATGTGATCCAGGTCTTGCCGTTTAGCCTCAAGGTTAGGGACCCTTCCTGACTCTGAGCAATAAGGCTGGGCACACATAGGCTGAAGGAAAAGATGTGCAGCCAGTGTAACGTGAAAAACCTAGAAGTCAATTACAACTTCAAGGGGAAGCACTGCTGAGTTTGGTCTGCTGAATCCATAGCACAGTCCAGCAGGGCTACCATGCTAGTTATGTAAACGCTTTCTGGGGACATTTTAAGCTTTTGTAGTCTTCAACACAGTCAGGACTGCATTTATAAATGTTATAGCATTCAATAATTATGTAGGATAAAATAGTCAAAAAATATCCTACCTAGCACTAAACTAGAAGTTTGGGGTGACAGGTTCATTACAGTGAAAGAAGAGAAAAAGTTAATAGGAAGGTGTATGTTTTAAACTCAGACAAAATACCTTCTTCAGGAAAACCAAGTGACTGTGCCTATTCAGAAAATATCTAGAAGAATCAAGTTGTTCTTTATGAAACAAACTGTGGTTTCTTTTATGAACCTTAGAACTAACTACAGACATATGCCTTTAGGAAAGATATGTCTCCTTTAAAACAGGATAATAAGGAAGTATTTACTTAGTCACAGGTAAAAGCACACGGAACCAAGAGAGCCTTACTGCTTTCGCACCCTTCTCAAGCACTGATTTCAGAGAGGTGATACAAGGTTTAATAACATGACCTTTATTGATGACAGTGGAAAGCAGATGTTTATTTTTCATAAACAGGAAAGAAAATTTTACTTCCTATTATGTAATTACATAAAATCTGTTTAAATCATTAATATAAAAAAAAGTTTAAAAAAAAAGTTTGTGTACTTCATAATGTAGTACCATCAAGAAGTCCTAAGTAACTGTATTTTCTATAAGAAGGGAAAAATAAAACAAATTTCCATGGACAGAAGTCAACGGTATAAAACAATTAAATGTATGTTATAAGGAATTTTGATTATTTGTAAGCTCAGTCCATGAGGATGGCTAAAGAAGTAGATCCTAGCAGGATCAAACCTTGCATATTTACACTCACAGGTGTAAAAGTAATATTGCCAGTTAATTGAAATATGCATTTTCAGTATTTTTCTGAAAATTAATGAAGTCTAGAAGCTACATTTTAAACTCAGATGTTCACATTTGAAATAAAATGCTTCTCACATCCTTTATAATTAAGGCAAAGTATGTTATCTTTTGAAAATACCTTCTATATAGTTTCTGCATAAAAATATGAAATAAAAAATAAAACTATATATGTTTAATGGAACACTGTTATGTATGGTCCAGCAGAATAAGGCACAAAAAGTAAATAAAATGCTAAAGCATATATAAAAGTTAATGTGTTATTTTAAGTGGAATATAGCAAAATTCAAGTAGTTCTGAGTATGCTCACTTCTTGCAATAGGAATACATTTTTATATAGGTATCTCATGCTAAGCCTGATGTACATCATGTAAGCATAATCTATCTGAAGTAGGTAATTTGTACAGTGACTTTATTTAGAAATCTGATAGTTTTCATACCATCTGAAACAAGGCTCCTTAATGAAACTTCTCAGCCTGAAATCCAAGCATGAATTTTTCCATGAGGCAAAGTACATTGGTTTCTTGCCCAAATCACAACATGAGTTGAACAAGTTTTGTCTGCATGCTTAATATGAAGGTTACTATTTTCATTAACATAAATGACAATCCATGCCCCTAAAGTTGGGCACATTTGCACAGTTTGTTTTCACAGGTGCTCACAAGCAAATTTTCTCTCTGTAAAATTCCACAGAGATTAGTGTACAGAATGGACCTCCTGCATCAGTACAACTACATTATTGGTCAGAAACCTTTCAGGTGAGCTGTTTATCAACAAATAAGCATACATGTAAAGAGAATAGAGAATCTCATGATATTTTGGTTTGATAGAAGGCATACATCATCATTTGTTGTCTGACTGCAGCATCAAAGCAGCCCACAGCCTGTCCCCCACCTCACCCCACCAAGTAATATCTCTAAGATTTTCACAAAGGAAGGGGAGAGCAGATTAAGTCTTTACTTCCTTCCCAAAGTTTCAGCTAGTTTCTTCAGTCTTTTCTTCAGCTCTAGAGGAAACTTCTCATAACACTTTTTGCAGACAGGCTTCATATCAAACTCAACGAATTTATTCCTGAAACAACAAAGCAAAACCCAATTTTTTAGCAGATGAGATTGTGAAAAAAAGAATTTAAAAAAAATCTCCTATTAAATGTGCACAAGCAAAAAATTAAACCTCCAATTTATATATATATGTTAAGTTACTTTTACAAGGTTATATACACTGTAGACAGTGATTACAGTACCCTGTTGAGTAAGCTACACAGTTTTTACTCAGATGTCCGTCTTTATTAACCATGTAATTTAAAAAGCCTTTCAAACCTAATTGTACAGGTAAAGAGACTAAACATAAGATAATGGAATCATAAGTTAATATTTCAAGTTGCACTTGCATAAAAAATATTTTGGTTTTGATTGCCATAAATTCATGCAGAAGCTTAAAAAAGCATCCTTAGCACTAACCAAAGAAGAAAGGAGCAGGGATGGTAGTAAGAAGGAAAAAAGTTTACAAACAGATTGGCTTTTTCTTTTTCTGCTTCTCTTTATCCTTTGCTTCACGTTCCCGTTTGGCAAGCCGTCGCTTAAATTCATCTGGCATTTTCTCATAACAGTGTTTGCAGACAGGTTTTAGATCAATTTCAACAAATTTATCCCTTTAGAGTTAAACACAGAAAAATAAAGGACAGAAAAGGAGAAGAGTTAGGAAGACTAACTGAAGGAAGACCTGAACAGACAACTGACAGAGACATAAAGTAGTTAAGTGGAGCAAGAGGAAGAAAGATGCAAATATTTCCTCAATGCTGCTTAGATGTTCTTCATACAGCAACAGCTACACTGTAGCAATATTTACACTTTGAAGAGAACTACTGACACATTTTGAAGGCATCACACTTATTGATACACTTACTTGAGTGTTAACTTAGTGTTGCAAGTTGAACAAGCGAAACAGTTCACACACCATGCCTTATTCAGAGCAGACACAACTAGGGAGATGTGAAAACCAAGAAATCATTAGCATTGCCAAGAAAAAAAAAGTTATTACAAAAATTTTAATCTCACATATTCGTGAGGTGTGAAGAACAGTCACTGATCCTTGTATCAAGTATTAAGGACCATAACAATTATGTGGCAGGACTAGGGAGGCACATGTAGAGCATAGCGTAGCAGAACGGTGAAGCATTGATAAAACTGTCTCTGAGGCAAGATTGGCTTAACCTATTTTTGCCTCCTGTTTTTGCTTCCACCTCATCATACACCATGCTGATCTCAGGCAACCATTCTATGAGGCCGTGTTTCCAATTTAATCAGGAAACATTTCCAGCTGAAGAGAAATCCAGCAAAATATTGGATTCTTATAATTTGCGACAACAAAAAACAGTGTCAAATTTATGCACAGAAATGAAAGACAAAATGTAATCGAACACATACACTGAAAATAAAGAAATTACTATATTCTGTTCAGTACTATATTCTGTTCAGTTCAGAGACCAAAACATACACTATGGGTGTCAGATTATATGGTGAAAGCTTGCAATCATACCAAGAAGTAGTTCTCCGACAAGTTCCAGTTCTGCTCATTCTAGTAGAATTTTAATGAAAAGGAGGACTCTGTTTCCTTTAAAGCATTTTGGATTGTCATTCTGTAGTTATACGCCAGTCCAGAAAATGTGGGGAAAGCACATCTCTGGAGTGTATGTCTTATCCTATAGTTACATGACTATAAATGAGTATATGTCTCCTTTTGTATGTTAGAGGCTTCCTCCTACTTTGCTAATAGCTTCGGCTTAGGTGAGGCTAGCATTGGTATTACAGTATTTACTTAGGGCAGGGGTAAAAAGGCACATAATGTAGCATTATTTCAGGCAGAATAATTCGCTTTTGGCATTTTATCAGAGCTGGTTATCCAAAAAGCCTCTCAAAACCACCCCCCCAAAAAAAAAAACAAAAACCCCCCAATCAAACAAATCACTACCAGTTCTGCCTTTACAGGACACATATTTCCAAGTATTATCATTCCTGGTTTTGTGACATTATCATTAGCCTAGATTTTCAAAAGACAGGTGCCTGTGATAGATAGGTAAATATCTCCAGGAACCACTGGCATAATGGGAATAAGGCACTTTAAAAAAATTCCTAGGAGTGCCCACCTACGTCTTTCGGTATCTAAATATTTTTTCAAATTTGGTTCATGATCCTCCTTTGAGGAGATGTCTGTGTGGTCATTCTCACCCTTGCATGTGTTCTTTTTGAAGCTGGTGGGGCAGGAAGCCACTCCTGAGCATCTTCCAGCATTCCTGGCCTTTACATGTCACTAAGGGGTTTCACGGTTCTCTTCAGCCACTGGGTGTTCTTCTACCATCACGAAATGCTTGCTATAAGGTTTTCTTACCATTTGGTCTCTGACTAATTAGCTCTAATTTAATTACTGATCAAGAGAATGGCTGGGTTTTTTTAATGAGAACAATCAAGGACTCAACACAGGGCTGTTTTCCCCTTACTGTCACTTTTAAAGAGAACTTCCATCAGAAAGGAACATTAAGGAAACAGTTAGAAAAATGCTTACCATCTCCTTCAATCACACGGTTGCAATGGAAACAAACATCACCAAATAGCTGAAGAGGAAAGAGAAGTAAGGGATTTTTAATGTTATGGTTTTATCGAGGGTAACTTCCCAAACTAACAAAATAACTGTATTTCAGCTGATGGGCACAGTTGCTTTCCTATTTGTTCCAGTAAAATAAGGAGAATGCTGGCAAGTCTGGTTTGGTTTTCCAAGTAGGTTTTGCATCATCTTATCACAAAAGGTCTTGATAATACTAAAGATACACATTTGTTTACCTTTATTTGATCCTCTGTAAATCAGATTTTGTTTTGTTTTAACATTTCTCTAATCCTGAACATTTAAAATACAGCAGTTGGTGTCACATACACACTGTTACTAACCAAATAATTGAACATCTGGACTTAGACGCATGATTAGAATGACATATTGCTGTTTCTGACAAAAACTGTAAGGAAACGTTATTTTTAGTTTAAAAAAATGAAAAGGAAACTTTAGGACAAAAATTATTCATTCTTTTTTCCAGGCTTAACATTTGTCCATAATATAACAATTAAGAAGTGCCCAAAATTTTGTGTATTTTTTTCTAACTGCAGTAGTTAACCTAGTAAAAGACATCCACTCTACATACAGCTCTTGCCTGGTATATGTATTTGCCCCATCACAGCTGCAACACTACTACTACTAACATCATGGCATTTATAGTCTACAAGTAAGCCAGCAACAATCATCTGCCCTTCACCACCGACAAATTAAGACACTCTGTGTAATTAGTAGGTGCCTTACAACTCCCAAATGTAACCCCCACTCTTGTGTTTATGTAAGCAAGGAGGTGAACATGACACAACGCAGATATGGCTTCCAAATAAAAAAGGTCTGTACATCATGGTGCTGGACTCCACAACCAGGGGCGTCTGGAGAGAGGGAACTGTGATATATAACTTCTGTATAAATGCAAGTGGTCACTAGGTGGTGTCTTCTGACAAATTCAAGTCTTCGAAGTCTTCATCAACCTAATGACTGAGGGGGTGATGCAGCCATGTGATCATACAGTCATCTCAAGAGTTAACAGCTGTAGGAAAACCCAGGCTACTCACTATAGCCTCGTCTTCAACTGCAGTTACTGAGTGGCAAATCTTCTTTAACTTCTTGGAAAGACTGGGTGTCATTAGCTGTTCTGATCTCACAGGCATCTAAAAGCATGTAACAGCTCTACTTAAGTAGACTAAGCTTGAAGAACATCTTGATACTGATTGCCCTGTGAAATACCTGCAGGTTTCTTTCTCTTTGCAAGAATGATGAATAGAGAAATCTGTATAAATTAACTGCAACAGAACATCTCCTAACTGGCATTACACCCACAGGTGCCTTCAACAAAACAGAAGAATGTCCATGTTTTACATCTCTAATAAAATCAGTTTGTGAGTTTACCAATTAATGCCATTTTATAAAGATATGCAACCTTACCTGATTGTAGTGAGTTTCACAATATGCCAAGCCTTTTCTCTCATAATGACGATGACCCAGGAATGGTTTTTCACATTTTGCACAAACAAAATGCTACCAAGAAAATGACACATAAATTTTTTTATTTTTTGGAAGTAACATTATTTTTTCTGGAAAGCAAACCAACCAAGTCCACTACTGAACATGACTGAAGTCTACTGAGCTAGCTGTGCCATCTTCGAAAGCAGAGTTAAACTACATTTAGACCACTAAAATAATATTTCTTTTAATGTCTTCAAAATTTCAATCCAGAAGTCACCAAAAATAAAAAAAATCAAGCAAAGGATTCTCATTTTTTTATCAATGAACAGAATTAGGAGTTATTAAATAATCTGCACCATTATTACACTCTTGTAAAGGAAGCGTTTCCTAGAGGAGATTTTCAAAACAACAGAAAGAACAAACTGTTTATATTTCTAAACTAAATGAAAGATGTGGAACTCAATCTTGTAGATGGCCTTGAAATAAAAACTCTCACATGAACTGTTAAAAGAGATATGTATATGGCAGGTGACTATGGAAGACCTAAGGGTATTATGATTCTCAGTAACATGATTACCACAGATCTTACATGCACGGTTTTGCACTCTGAAATTTTCTTTTGTAAGGACCTCACCATGCTTCCTTTGATTACTGATTTTAGTTTCACAGTCAAAGCTCTCTGTAAGATAGGAAATTACTCCTATTCCATAGTGGAAGACTAGCCACAATAAAGCTAAAGAGGGATTCAGAGAAAGTATTTATAATTCTTGTTGCAAACTTTGATAATCCTTTCACTGAAATTGATCAGCAAAATCACAGGTTTTTTAACAGTTAATATGGTAATGTTTACATTTGTAAAAGACATTATGTATCATCTGATGTTTACCTCCACATGCCATTGTTTTCCCATAGCATTCACCACACGGCCTTCAATTGGTCTTCTACATGCCCCACAGATGGGAACACCCATTTTGTCATGGCAGGGTAAGCAGTAGAGTTCTCCCTTCAGCTCACGAGCATCAGCAGTAAGTTCCTTCCTATTCAGAAATTAATGAATTGAGAGCATGAATAAAGGCACTGAATGATGTCAACTCTTGAGAGTTTATGAAAAAAAAAATTTTAGCATTTGTTTAGAAATTATATTTATACTACAGTAATGCGGCAGCATCAAATATAACATAGTTCAACAGAGTTCAAGACTGATCACAGTAAACTGAGAACAGGCTGCTCAGCGAGGTGCACTAAGTCTCTTGGAAACAGCTACTGAACTATTGTCATTCTGCTTACGCAGCACAAATGTGTGTGTGAAAGCTGCAGATGTTTGGTTCATATACTGGCACTCATTACCAGTTTATTTCAGATTTGCATAACTGGAACTGAAAGTAAAATGTAGTACTCTACGTCTAGGTACATTTTCCTTGAAAGAAAACTACAGACCCAAACGAGCTAGGTTTATTCATTTCCAATTGCAGAATCTCATACACCCTACTTTTCAGTAAATTGCATGGTTAGATACTGAGAAAAGATAAACCTTAAAAGTGACCATAACCACTAATACTCTCAACTGGTTGCCACTGACATAACACTACATATTGTTATTCAAATCAGCCTTTGCTATGGCACTGAAATAGTAGCTTCCTTTGCACCAGAAAGAAACAACTAAGAATCCATGCTATGTCCTACAATGCCCCATGGTCCGTGCATCAGTGCAGGATGTAGAAATGTGCAGTTTCACATGCTGCAGCAGCAGAAGCTGACAAAATGAGGTGGGAGAAAGCTCCTAAAAAAGATAGCCTTTAAAAAGAGAGAACAAAGTTTGCATACCACTCAACTAAAAAGAAATAACATAGGCAAGACAGTAATTCAAGCAGGAAAAGAGGACCATTTTTCTTTTTCTCCTAGCAGAATAATGAACTATCATTTTGCTGTATCTGTGTCCATACTTCGTATTTTGTAAGGTACCACCTTGTCCTGCAGAGTCCAATCTTTCTTTACTCCCCAACAGTTCAGCTGTTGTTCGAATGCTACCATGCCAAAAGCAGTAATACACATTTGGCCACAAGACACCCAAACCCTATCCCCTCTTCCCAGATGTACAGGACAAGTTTTCACTTTAAGATGTAAATCCATGAATCAAATAAGCCCAGCATTTTCCTGTTTTCCTTTGCAGAACTCAAGTTACCCGCAGTTTGCACAGTTGAAATGATCAGGGTGATAAGGGTCATTTTTGAATATGAGAGGCTGTTCATCAATAATAGCATGACACTTCTGGCAAATGTACTTTCCCAGGCCTCTGGCTTTTTCCCTGTTATGGCAAGGACGGCAGAGATGTCTGAAACAACATAAAAAAAGAGAGGTAAGTACTAGTACCAAGTACTACACTGCAAAAATCTATCAAAACTTCATTTCAATTAGTCCTTTTTTTGGGGGAAAGTAATCTTTAAAACAATTTCTTTGCTAGGCAAGCCAAGTTCAGAGCAACAAAATTATCTCCCAAGTTCAGGATGATCATTTTATTTTCCGTCTCCACCGGAGTATAATTTCTTCAGCTGAGTTTAAGCTATGTTGAAACACAGAAAACAAAGTTCGCTATAGATTGTCGTTGCTGCATGTTTTACTTTCAAAATCTTAGAAATTTAGATTGGAAGCTGGATGACTACACAAATCGTAATTCTGTAGATAATTCTGTATGTTATATTATACATATGAAGGCAATGGCCATAGAATTCACCTGTAAAACATTCTTCTGATTATAGCTGGTAAAAATATCCGACTCCATTAAAGGGTCCCACCGAAAATAAAGGAATTATTAATAAATAAGGTGCCAAACTAGACCAAAATTGGAGAGCCGTTGGAAAAAGAAAGTAAAAATTTTTTTTTTAAAAATAAAGACAGTACTTCTGTATCTGAATGTTTTCTCTCTTTTTACATATAACAATGGTCCCAAAATGTCACTGGGTAGAGAGCATGTTTGCCAAGAAACCTACTGTTGAAATAGGTAAAATGTTAATATTTTAAGGTACCCTTTCTTAGTTTTGTGATGCACTCAGACCTTTTCCCCACAGAAGATGCTTCAGTTGTTCCATCTGAGATGGAAAGCTTCAGGAACCAAAATCTCTCAGTCCCCCTATTAGTTAATTTTATTTATGACCAGTTAATAAAAGGAAGAGTGGAGATCTACCTGCCAGCATTCTTGACAAATCCAATATCAGCCAATACTACTTGGCAGATATCGCAGCAGAAGCACTCTGGATGCCAGCTATTGTTCATGGCTTTAATAACACGACCAATAATGAACTCACCTGTAAGAAACACAACACCAGGATATAAAATACCATACTAGACAAAGTTAAAAGCACTACAATGACATCATCATCCATTTCCTCACCCCAAAATCTGGTAGGACACATTGCTTGCAGTATCATGGTTCTGATTCTGTAATTTGGGTTTTTTCATTGTTTTTTGCTATGGGTCAGAAGAAAATGTCCTTGCTGATGGAGAACCTTCTGCTCTTTACACACAAGTCCTTTTCATGCACACTCCACCTTCTCTCTGCAATAATCTTTTTTCAGTCCTTTCCCTGTTTTTACTTATCTGTTCTCAAGCTGTTAAGAAATTTATGGAGTACTTCATATAATATGACTTTCTTGTGTCCTAATCATCCTTCTCCTTCTTTTCTTTAAGATGACAATCTTAACTTGTCATGTACGTAGCAGTGGTTTCTACTCCACTAGGACCAAGCCTTGAAGGGGCTCTATACTCAAAGCACAGTACCACTGAGCTTGGGTGGCTGTGGACCTCCTGCAAAAAAAAACTCCCATGGAGTCCAAATGCAAAGCTGCAGTGACGCTGCACACACACACACAACTTCTAACCCTCTGGGCGTAGCCAAAGCCCCTGAGCATTGCAAAGGCTCGGCCTAAACTGTGTTTGGGAGCTCAGCTTCCCAGGGCTGTGGGAGGCGGAGTCCTGTCTTTGGAGAACAACTTGCCTCAAAGGGGAGGGATCAGGCAGGTAACCGATCTAGGAACAAAACCTGATGGACTCCAGAAATGTGAGTAATGCTTGAGGTGTCACTGTGACAACAGTCCCATTGATTGTGGCTCTGCTTACTAAGTACAAGCAGTGGGAAATCCCAGCTCTGTGCAGAGCCTTAATGAAGTTTTAAGGGAGTTGGCACTACATGGAGCCAGGACAGGAAGGGAAGGTGTGCCGGCTGGGCAGGAGAAATCCTGGAGATAGGGAGTGTAGCTCCTCAGGAATCACCACCAACCCACTTCTTCCTCTTTCCCTGCTTGTTCACGTCGGCAGCTTTAAATGCAAAGTTCTGTAACATCTGCTTCCCCCTCCCTTGGTGTTCAACCCCTCCCTCCACACAAGGAAAGGCCTCACTGAGATAAGTGAAAGCCATACTGCCTTGCCAGGGTGCCACAGAAACACAAGAGCTTCCAGACCGGTTTAAGCAATAGTCAAATAATGACTTCCCAGCTGTGCCCCAGCAAAATACGTCACACATAGGGGAAAAAAGAAAACATGCAAATGATTACAGCACAGCAGGTGCACAAGCATTTACATTAACAGTGGCAAATAAAAAGAACAGCCCTCAGAATTACATAGGGTGGACATTAGATGCTGAAGCCCTAAAGGTATTTGTTTCAAAAAAATCAACAGGGGCCCAGCTGACCATCACTTGATTATATCACTAGCTAATGATGATTGTCCCAGCTTCTGTGGAGTAGGACAGCACAGGTGGGTTACAATAGCCAAAGCAGATGACAAAGCCTTGTTGCAGGGTTTCAGATACATGAGAAGGGCCAAATATGAGCATATGCAGAAATACATATATATGGAATCAGGAGTCATGAATGGTGTATATAATCAGAAATTTATGAATGGTCTGCTCATTGGATCACTGACTCAACAGCTAAACTACTTACTCAAATAATGCAAACTTTTTTTAAAAAATACTATTGTTTGCTGACCTTTAGAAAAAGCAGCTCCCCAAATTCTCTGAAGTCTTACATTCTGCAAGTTCACAGGGCCACTTCCCTGAGAACACACACAAGGGGTTGCCTTTCTTCCCCCAGTGACACTCCCATTTGTGATCAAGTGGTTCACCTTGATTTAAAACTTACCACATTGATGGCAGCAAGGGGCAAAAAGCATTTGAAAATCATGTTCGCAGTACTTCCTCCCTTCAAACTGTAAACGGAAAAAGATCTGAGTGTTAGAGGAATGAGGAACATGCTCTTAACATAAATGCTGTAACACCCTGGTGTGTTTCCAGATATAATTAGGTAGTAAAACACGAGGGGCTGCACAAAAAAACCCAGACCATGAGCTATAGGTGCTAGGCATTACATCCACCCATCTTAATTCATCTACTAGTTAGCATGTAATGTTAATAGCACACCATTCCTCCAATACTGCCAAGAGTCTAAGGAATCTTCCGTCATCAATTTATATCACAAGAGACATCTGAATTCTGAATTTTGACAGACCGCTGAAACTCTGATGCAACAGAGCACATTCTGAGCAGGAAATCAGCTAACAAAAACCCTTGGGCAGTGGGAGAGGGAAAGCATTTTCCCTGAACCCATTTGATGTCTTCCTCACTCTACATTTCCTGCAAGAATGACCCAGCATACTGGAGGCAGTAAGTACGATGGGGGTAGGGAGAGGAAGAACATCCAGGGACAGAAATCTTTGACTTTATGGAGCAGTACAGCCAAAACATGAAGTGAAATAAGCCTTTTCCTTTGTGATGCTTATTTCATAGAATCAAAGAATCATTTAAGTTGGAAAAGAACCTTAAGATAATCAAGTCCAAATATTAAGGAACAAAGTTCACTACATTGATCAGATTAAATTGGGAACTGATCTTAAGGGATTTGGACTTGGATCTGAATTTTATCACAGCCTAGATGAGTTCAGCTACAGTTCAAGCTCTCATAAAAAAAAACTCATATGGAATTAAAAAAAATTCAACTGCATTAGTGGCTTAGCCAAAGAATATGTAAAAACATGTAGGCAAGTATGTGCTGAAATGAAGGGAAATGTTTAGATACCTTCAGGCACCACCATTACCAGATACAAATGCCAACTGGCATGTCAAAACCAGATAGACAATATTAGGTATGGTGTAAAATGTTTGGATTTGAATGTCTCCGTTTAAAACAGTGGAAAAATGAGGACAGCAGGAAACCTTGCTCCTTTCATTTTACTGTGTCTAAGACAAAACAAAATAAATAGCATAAAATACTACCCACAAAGTAAGTTTTCGTGCCTGGACAGAAAATACAGCCATGTGTTTCAAGATTACCTGTTTTATACTATGAAATTGCAAGGATCAAATACAATATAAATATAATAAATACTCTTGCAACTGGCAGGGTGGGGATCTAACGGAACACTCTCAAAGTCACTGGGTACTTGAGATTAGAAAACTCCTCTGCCCAACCTGAATTGCACCTATTAGGAACAGAAAGACACAAGCTCAATACAGACTCTTTCAGAAGTCTCTGGTAGGAATTTATCAAGTGCAATTTCAGTGTAATACTGTAAAACAGATTATTTTTTTTAATTTCAGCTTTTTAAAAAAATAATAATTGAGAGGCAGAGGGCTATTACTTCCTCAAAGAGTAATGGAAATTATTTGTTCATTGTGAATTGTGCTTGCTTCCTGCCAGATAAATCCCTTTTCAAACTGAAAAAAATTCAAAAGCTTCCTGTTCTGTGTAAACAGGTGGTCCAACAGGGGATGCTTAGGTTTGTTAGGATTTTAAAGCCACCACATGTTGATCTGGATGGACCAAACACGTTTTCTTCCCCTCTGGTTTATGTCAGGTAGGTTGGTTCCCATTCAGTCTTGTTTGTATTTTCAATCTTCTTGGCTCATTTGTGCTGCTCTTGTAGATGACCTAGCAGTTATCCATCAGAGAAAGCCTTGAGTTTCTCACAGCACATATTTCAAAAGCAAAATAGTTTTACTGCTGTATGCTGGAGGTCCATGAGTTAAATGGCTCTGCATAGAACATCTCACTGTTACACAGCCACCAGCTTATCTGCGTGTTTTTAGCTAACTTAGTGGAAAGACATGTACAAAACCCGAGTCTTTAAAGATTCTCTCTCTAAGGTAGTTTCTGGTAGGAAAACACTCTTTCTTTTAGGAAAACACACAAGGTGCAACTGGAATAGAAACAAATCTGACAAGCGCATTGCAACTGCACCTTCTTTTAATCTTCTTAAAGGTTATTACAAACATTTTAGAAAAAAAAACCAAACTGAAAGAAACTTCCTCTCAAGAGACATAAGTCACATGCCATTCCATATTATTTCATTATTATGATTAAAAAAACAACAACAACAATAATAGTGATATATATTTCCCAATTATAGCTGTTGTGAGTAGTCCATAAAGATTTTGCTGTATTTCTTCTGTTGGGGGAAACACCTCTCTAAGCCCTTCCCTCTCCTCCACCTCAGCACAGTACAGTGCAGGCTGGGATGCTTCTGAAAACAAACAGCACAAGGCTCTAAACAAACACCCAGACCAGGGGTACAACTTCTCTCGTCCAACCTCCCCTGTCTGAAGGTGAGGTGTCCACACTCCCCAGTGGGAGACATGGGCAACCTCTAGAAGGGAGGAGCCATTCTATGACCTGAGAGTAATGTGGGTTGGAGGAAATGCCCACTGACTGATTACAGTGGGGCCACTCTGTCCCTCTGAGTGCACTGCCAGCTGCCACTGAAGGTCTCCATTTAAGCTGTCTGTTCTGCTACCTGCAGTGCTACCTGCAGACTCTGCAACAGCTGCTCTAGGGAATACACATCTCCCAGGTTGTGGAGTAAAAGCAGACCAGAATTGCTACCACTTCACACCTGACAGCACAGCAGAGCAAGTTTGGAAATTCTGCTGGCATGTGCTTGTGCTAATCTTTGTTTAGGTCGAGTGCATAAGAAAACTTGCTAAAATGATGCTGCTGAGCAAACTGGAACACAATTATACCCTTGCATGTCCTAAACCCACAGTTTCTGTGCAATATTAGGCACACAGTTCTCAGGAATCCAAATTATCATTTCTAACATAGGTTCATGAGGACATCTACAAAACTCCTGCTATGCTGTGCTGACTCGAAGTGGTGGAGGGGCGCTGCTCTGGTGTGGTGCCACTTGTGCCAGCAAGTGACTTGGCTCCAGTGCCAGACCACAGCAAGCTGTGCTGATCAGGGTCCCTGCAAGGCAGCCTGGAGGCATGTCCTGCAGCAAAGGAGACCTGCGTCTCTCTGACCAGTTCAACCCCCACCCATGGAACACAGAGTGAAAGCTTATCATGGCAGTGTTTGACGACAAATGTGATAAGCAGCTTAATGACTAACTGGGGGAACTCTGCAAGTCTTGTAATAGGCAGGGTAACAGTATTTGCCTTCCCAATTGCTAAGAGCTAGAAATCATTTCCAAGAAACACTAGCTTAGCTAAACCAGGCACAGAATAAATACAAACTCATGCTGGGCAACCAACAATGCCTGCATCTACCCATGGGGAACATGTTCAGAAAGACACATTACCTGGCCACAACTGCAAACACATCCATCTTCTCAAAGACTGCATTAAGGCAGTCTGAGGAAGATACCCTTTATGCCTGTCTTCTCCACTCACTTTTTCTTGACAGTGACACAGATTATCTCAAGTCCTCAGAGCACTGTCAGCCACTCCCGAGCAATGGCCAACCTAAGCCCACCTTCTGCCTGCATAGGGCTGTCCCTTCCTCTCACAGAATCACAGAATGGGCAAGGTTGGAAGGGACTGCAGTGGGTCATCTGGTCCAACCTCCTGCTCAAGCAGGGTCAGCCTAGAGCACATTGCACAGGACTGTGCCCAGACAGTTCCTGAATATCTCCAGTGAGGGAGACTCCACAACATCTCTGGGCAATCTGTTCCAGTGTGTGGTCACCCGCACACTAAAGAAGTTCTTCTTTATGATCAGATGGAACTTCTTGTGCATCAATTTCTGTCTGTTGCCTCCTCTCCTATTGCTTGACACCACTGAGAAGAGCCTGGCTCCATCCTCTTGACACCTTCCCTTCAGATAATTATATACACTGATAATAGTATACTACTACTTCTCAGTTGTCTCTTCTTGAGTCTGAACAGGCCTAGCTCCCTCAGCCTATCCAATGTTATTTTACTTCTGTAATAGTTGTGGCAAGAAGTGTCTATGCTTAACTGAAACTTTCCACTTTCTACATAACATTTCTCAGGCTATCCAGCCTGAAAAAAACCCCTAGCAATATTAACCAAAACACATTTAGTACATGGTGCTATTTTCATTCCCAGGACAATCTATTGGCACTCACTTCTGACTGACTGTCTTTGAGAGCAGCATGTTTCAGTAAGAGTGCTCAAAGACCAATTGTCATGAATATGAATGTTAACAAGGTAGCAATAGGAAGGAAAACGCTTACATCCAATATATCTAAGATCCTTGCCTCTGCTACAGATTCAGGTATGGCCACCTAGAAGCACTCAGAGCAACAGGGAGTTTGCAATGTTCCTGACCTAGGTCCAAAAGTAAGACTTTCTTTCCACTGCAGTCCTTGTCCATCCCCTAGGAGACACAGGCTGCCTAGAGCACGATTTCCTCAAACTTTTATCTTTAACAAAAGATCATTCAACATTGTGAAAGAAGTCCCTGGAATGTCTCATTGCTTTTTGAGTCAGAAAAAGAAGGAATAAAGTACTCATTATTTAGAGAAAATACATTTTATTGGTTTAAGACAGTTTTAACACAATTACAAATATTTTAGTTTTGAAACATCCGTATCACTATACGTTTGCCTCAGGTCTTAACATGCCAGGATGGACTCTTTACTGTGCCTGCAAGCAGGCAGCAGCTCAGTATATATTAACAATTGTAAATCAATGTGTTAATATCATGGGGGTGTTCTTCTGTTTTTATTTAATTAATTCGGCCTTGCAGCTCACCTTTTGATGTCTTATGGAATATTAGTCATTTACCAAAATTTCTGCAAGACTATCCCTGGCGCACAGAAAAGTCTTTTGATCCTCAAACAAAGCGAGAGAAAGCAAATCCCCAGGAATCCCTTTTGACAGGCTCTTTTCCAACTCACACTCCTCTCTCAGCCTCTCTCCTCATCACCACATAACATGGCTCTGTAAAGTTAGAAATGATCCTCTGGAAGATAAACTGTTGTGCTCTTGCCATAAGGATATCCCCTGTCTGTGAGAGCACAGACTTGTGCTTTTAACACACTGCTCACCTTCCTTTTCAGATCATAGTATGACTTAAGTCCTGTAACTGCTACCCTAAATTGGACTATAAGCTACTTGAGCAGGGATCTCTCAGACATTAATTCCCCGGCTCATGCCATCTATTGTTCCTTATACCAATCACTTTGTATTTTATGAACCAGTCTAAAGCTTTCAATAAAGCCACTTTTGACCTGCATTTTCTCCTGAATCCCCATAATAGGGGAGCGTAAAAGAAAATAACACTGATACCAAAATACCCATCTGAGCTGAGGGCAATTGACCTGGAGATGATTCCAACGGGATGAGGTTCAACAAGGCCAGGTGCTGGGTCCTGCACTCTGGCCACAACAACCCCATGCACCTCTACAGGCTGGGGACAGAGTGGCTGGAGAGCAGCCAGGCATAAAGGGACCTGGGAGTTTGGATTGACAAGAAGCTGAACATGAGCCAGCAGTGTGCCCAGGTGGCCAAGAAGGCCAATGGCATCCTGGCCATTCCTGTATCAGGAACAGCGTGGCCAACAGGTCCAAGGAAGTGATTCTTCCCCTGTACTCAGCGCTGGTGAGGCCACACCTGGAGTACTGTGTCCAGTTCTGGGCCCCTCAGTTCAGGAAGGATATTGAGGTGCTGGAGCAGGTCCAGAGGAGAGCAACTAGGCTGGGGAAGGGACTCAAGCACAAGTCCTATGAGGAGAGGCTGAGGGAGCTGGGGCTGTTCAGCCTGGAGAAGAGGAGGCTTAGGGGAGACCTCATCACTCTCTACAACTCCCTGAAAGGAGGTTGTAGCCAGGTGGGGGTTGGTCTCTTTTCCCAGGCAACGATCAGCAAGACAAGAGGGCATGGTCTCAAGTTATGCCAGGGGAGGTTTAGGTTAGATATTAGAAAGAATTTCTTTACAGAGAGGGTTATCAGACATTGGAATGGGCTGCCCAGGGAAGTGGTGGATTCTCCGTTCCTGGAAGTTTTTAAGAAGAGACTGGATGTGGCACTTAGTGCCATGGTCTAGCAAGCGCAGCGGTAGTGGATCAAGGGTTGGACTTGATGATCTCGGAGGTCCCTTCCAACCCAACTGATTCTATGATTCTATGAGAAATGTGAACGGGAACAGGTTTTAACCCTTAAAAGTGTATTAAGAGCTGGTAATTTTAGATGCTCTGGTGTGTTAGAGTCGACCCTACACAGGCCTTGGTTTGGCTTCTACACACACCCTAATCTCAGCATGCTGACTTACAGGTCACCTCTTTTCACACGCCGAGCTGGCCTCACTCAAGTCAGCAATAAACCTCCTAGGGCCCACAGGATGCTGGGATTTCCCTCTATATGACTTTCTCCTCTAAGAAGTATGCTTTCTCTGTATTTTTGGTATGATACATCAGATTCACAAACTGCAGGGAAAAAAATCTGCACTGAAAAAGGAATCTCCAGCAGTTTTTTCTCAGCTTTGATAACATTAGGCTCCATATTTAAATAAGGTTATATATACCGATGCCCTTCAAATTAGCATAGAAATGCTTCCTGGCTTTTTTCTCCCTTTACTGGGCATACCGTTTCAGAGCCCAGTTCTTCACATGGGACTTTCTAAGCTATGGATCTGCCTGTAGCTAATTCTGGTATGGGAAAGAAGGCACAAGACAAAGGTTGGGGGCAAGAGGGGTACTCTGCCCCGCTTACCTCGTAGAAGAGCCCTTCGGGGAACTGCTGAAAGCACTGGGCACAGACGAAGCACTGCTCATGGTACAGCTCACCGTTGCTGTTGACTATTTTCTCAGCAGGGGCAAAGCCACCCCTGCAGCGCTCGCAGATGGCATTTGCAAGCGCATTCGCCATGTTGCTGTTAATAAAAAAAAAAAACACAAAAAGAAATAGAAAGAAAATTAGCCTAAATAGGCAACAACACTGGTTGTGGGTCTTTTTTTTCCCCCAAGGCCAAACTGCATCAGCCTAATGCAAGGCTGCTCAATACAAGTTTTTCGATGGACTTCATGGCTTGTAGTATCCCCTCAGAAATAAAACTACCACTTCTCCCTGCTCCTAAACTCTTTAGAAACAAAATCCTTGTGACGAACTCTAACTAATTCAAAAACCAAACAGAAATGTTGTTACGACAAAAATGTTGTTATAAATTTACAGGCTTTTTATGACGAGAAAAGACAGGCAACTCAAAGCACTATAAAAATTGTTAAATACATTAGAATTACAGAAAACAAGGGCAAATTATGAAATATATTAGAATTACAGAAAACAAGGGCAAATATTAACAATAATTGAGGACTAGCCCCACAAAGGAAAACATAAATGATTAATTCTAAAGAATTCCTAATTCTAAAATATATATGTAACAGCCTTAGTTCAAAGCTCTAAATAAACAATGTGAAAGAGTGTGCAGTATCTAGTCTGGCAGACATTAACAACAGCCAGAGTAGGTAAACAATTATCCCTTATACAAGCTCTGCATAGCTTGAGGTCATTTTACAAATTTAGTTTGAAGTCATGGGATTTTTGATTGGTTTGTGAAGGTTCATCTCAGAGAGCTCAGCTCACGATGTGCCAACTCACAGCTCACTCCAGGGCCATGCTGCAGGATGGGAATGCTCCAGCTGCCCCACAGCAACCCACATGCAGCCCAACACAAAGTCATAAACCCATACCAGGGATGCAAAAAAATACTCAAATAGCAACCTTGGTTGCTTCTCAAAGGCACAGAACCAAAAAACAGCAGTGTGGGAGCTGCAAAACATTAGAGGAATTAGCTACTTCACTGGGTTCGTGTCCACATCTGCAGAAGACACTACAGCTGTGTTTCAATTAAGGCCAGGAAAAGGCTCTCTTGATTTTTCCTTTGCAAATATTTTATTACTCATATCTAGACTCTCAAAGCTATGCCTTTCAAGATCACCTCTCTGCCCTAATACCATGTGATAGCAGAGAGCAAATATAGAGCAATGGTCTAGTTTCATTACAATCTGACCTCAGCTGACAAAATCACTGACTCAAAACATCTATTTGGAAGATTATTAGACAAGTGACATTATTTTAAACACATATGCACACATGCACACATTTTGGTACAGCTGTCATGCTGTACTTGTAAGTGTAGAGCCCCCAGTCCTCTGCAAGATGCCAAGACTTCCTTTTTATCCCCACAAGGGGATAAGACCTCTTGGCTCCCACCAGGTTCAATAGGAATTGAATTAATTCCGTGCACACCATCCAAGGGAGCAAGCAAACACCTAGCACGTGGTTCAAAATGGAATGTGTTTTATCTATTTCTTACACTGTCTCAACAGAAGAGCCCTATGCAAGGTCACATCTGACCAGTTATTATTAGCTGGCACTTTTTTTTTCTCTCTCTAAAGATCTTTGCAGAAGAGAAAAACAGTAACTGCTATCTAAATATCCATTGCTGTTCCAGTGAAACAAAAGTGGGCAAATTTCACTCGAAGATCAGATGGGGAGGATGGTCTTACCCATATGTAACAGACACACCTATGGACAAACTGCAGTGACTATACATACGAACTGTGATTAAGTCTAAAGCTTGCTAATGGTCTCCATGGATTATATACACTTTCTGTGGGGGAAGACCTCAGGCAATTTCCCCATCCTTTTATCAATCTAAGTGAAGAATAATCACAACAGAAACTGGGACCTTTCATCATCACTTCAACAGTGCTCGAGCACTAAGGATGTTAAGCGCTGGCATACATAAAGTATAATCCAAGCAAAAACACAAAACAAAGTTCAAAACCAAATGAAAACATTAAGTTTTCCTCCCCAGTACACAGAAGTGCTTCACTTTGAAACACATCATATATGCAAAATCAGTGATATATGTAATACTTTCGCACTGATGAAGCAGTTTATCCATTTGCCCAAAATAACACGCGAACAACCTGAAGGCAGAGAGACTACCTGACAAATTCCAACTCCGTTTTAACTGCTGATAAAAATTTCTGATGCAATTAATGATGAAATTTAAAGCAACAACTCCAATTTTAGTTGACAGTTACCACTGGCAATGTTTCAAGCAGAACAGTGGCAAAGGTTGGGTAAGAGAACAGCTTGCACAGATCTCAGATAATAAAATACATAAGTACAATGCACATGCAATGTCACTGCAGCTATACTCCGAAGCTGAACAGAATGAACTTACAATTTTGCATAGAAGTCACAGAACTCTTTGTAGAGTTTTATTTCACTGTGCCTACGCTGCAATTTTGACACTGGTTTCTCGCCTTCATTTCCTGCAGAGTTGTGAGCATCAGGAGCAACCTTGTATGCAACCTCTTCATCCTCTGGGATGGAGTACGGGTGAGCTCTGTGCTGGAAGTCCATCTCTCTCTGATTGCCTTCCTGGGTGTATATATTCTATGCTTATACTGCAAAGAAGCTGTAGGCAAAGCCTGCAAAACAGTATGCTGGACTTCCCCTTGTTCCCAGAGAAGTGATTTACTTTCACAGTTCCGTGTCATGTAGCCAGAGCTACTCAGTGCCCTGCTAGAGCTTCAAGTTAAAAGTTCAGTGGTGGGGCGGTGAGCCTGTCACACTGTGATTTACTGAGGCTGGCTGTGCACAGAGGAGCAAATTTTCCTGTTAGGCCCTCATGTAAACTCAGATGCTGGAAAAGGGTCTTTGCTGCTGGCTACTGATAGAAGCTGCCCAGGAGAGCTGTGGTGTAAGTAGCATATGTGAGCAAATATGTTCACCAACAAACTTGCCCACAGCTACTTTCTGCTGAGGGGGGAATGGAGGTAGATTCAAACAATATTTTATCATGGGCAAACTAGCAGTGGAAAGCACAAAGAGAAGACTCCTGTCACTAGGTAAATATTGCTTTAATGTTACAGTATATTAATTATGGTGAAAAAAATGCCTTTAATGTTCCGCTTGTGTCTTCTGGTGTCCTATGCGCTGAATTTATCTATAGGCATCTTTCTTCGTGTCAGCATTTTGGAGAAGGGACAGGTACAGATGGATAGTTACATTTATGTTGTGCTTCACAGGCCACTAACCAAACTGCCATGTATGCTATAATGGGCAATATATGAAGGAGGAAAACTAAAGCTTTATTTCCAGTGATGTGCTGCATTTAGATCAATGTCACAAAAGAACATTTACTGAAGCAATTTACCGTGGATATTAAAGAACTGAGAAAGCAAGACTAGGAAGAAAGAATGAAAAACAATTATTCCTTCACCACAGAATGCCCTCCTAATGTTGTAATTATTTTATGTTCATATTCTATTTAAAAAACCTGTTGTGCACCACTTACTAGGGAAGTCAGGGTTGATTAGCTGCAGATCTGCAGCTAATAACTACACTACTGCAAGCTTTCCCTGCTTGAAGCACAGTGTTTGTGGCAGACGTGGGATACTTGGTTTCCTGCAACTTTTAACTGCAGAAAAGGCAGGCTTTTGGAAAACTCTATTGAGTAACTACCTCTGGCGTTGGACTGGCTCAGCCTTATTTGTAATCAGTTGAACTGCAGAACCGCATGCATTTTGTGCTCATGACACGTAGTACCTTGGTATCTGAAGAATCTGCTAGTCTTCGAGGAGGCTGAGAAAGCAGAGGATGACAAGGAGATGAGCAGAGGGAACAAGTGGAGAAATTAGGACTCGAAGATCAGAGAATCACAGAATCATTTTTGGATAAGACTTCAAGATACCTCCAGGGTTGGTGACTCCACCACTTCCCTGAGCAGTATGTTCCAGTGCTTGACAACCCTTTCCATGAAGAAATTTGTCCTAATCTCCAATCTAAACCTCCCACAGCACAACTTGAGGCCGTTTCCTCTTGTCCTGTCACAGGATATGACAGAAGATCCAATCAAGGCTAAAACTTCTTAATATACCTTCACCTTCCTAGGACCTACTACCGAGGGTCTGGTTGATGATGGGTTTTGGCCGTATCTCTCAGCACTGGTTGGGACAGCTTGCTCAGTCAGCGTACAGCAGCCCACACGCCCCTCTCCATGCAGGCCTGAGCTTGCACATAGCCATCTTCCCGCAGCCTGGCCAACACAGCCCTACGCTGCTGCTGCTGCCAAATTTGTGGGATGGGTTTGGTCAGGCACCTTTCCTTCACTTCCCCTCAACAAGGAGCAACCCCTGGGCAAGCTATTGCTTGGGTAGGTGGGACCCAGGCAGCATGACCCTGCTTATTTACCCATCTCTAGGTGTGCTTACGCATCCTGCATCAGAGCTACCAAGAGTTACAAGCTGTAACAGGCTAAGGAGGCTGCACCCGCACCACTGACACAGCTTGGCTGCAGCTCAAGCCCTATTTTTATCTGTCATGGGGCAAGTGATGCTCAGGTTGTAGCCGTAGGCCACAAAGATCTTGCCAGAGCACCGCTGCAGGAAACGGTCCTGGAACAAAAGGTTTCTGCATCCACTGGAGCACCAGTGAAAACCAGCAGTGTTTGCCAACAGATATGCAGGCATAGTGATGCTGGCTCTTCTCCATCTTGCCTCCTAACATTTTCTGCACAGGCCAGTGCTAAGCTTCTGTGGGTATAAAAAAACTCCAGCGAGACAGACTGCAATGGACTAAACATGCTGATTCATCCAGGATTAGTGCAGGTGTACCAAGCCACTAAGATAAGAAACAGCAAGTCGGTCTGTCTCTTCCCCTTATTGCTGTTTCTCAACAATTTCTCAACTGTTTTCCTGTGTTTTGTCCCAGATTACTTGCAATTCTGCTGGGAGGCTGCTGCTGCAAATCAAGACAGTTGTTTTTCTCCTGGTGGACTTCTACAGTCCTTGTAGTAACTTGAAATCCACATGTGACCCAGGTCACTGGAAGCCACTTGTGCTGCCTTGTGTCCTCTGTTGTGAACAGGAAAATATTTGCTTGCTTCTGTGGCTGCTGCTGAGCAGTCTTCTGTGTGGCTGTAGCAAAGCAAGTAGTATGGTGAGTCAGTGCAGTAAGATGTCCATCCAAAAAGCCTGTTTTAATTTTCCTGGTTTTTTCCAAGAGGCAGTCCTACAAGGTAATAGAACTCCATACGTGCAATAAGTATAAGCTGCCTGGTTCTCCAGGCATATTACCTTTGCTGCTGGAGGAATGACTCCCAGTGTCTTCCATTAAGCAAGAAAGGAGCTTGACAGGAGTTTAAAAGGGCCTTTCTGCTATTGGTGGAAAACACAGTTGCTACTGTGAAGGTTTGGTAATCCACAAATCCAGTGCAGCTGGATCTTTCTCTTTTCTGTCATTTTGCAGGAGGCATGCTGCCAAGATCTGAAATATTTAGTTAAAAATACACTGAATTTTCATTAGGGAATTCTAGGTTACCCTGAAGTGAAACCCTCCACAGGGAGTCAGAAGCATGTAAGGGGTCGCTGATTTGCAGCAGCAGCTTCCCAAGGGCACTCCCTGGGATCTGGGACAAAACCTACCAGCCTGTTGTTAAGGACGCAATGTTATGGAGAAAAGGAAGAAGTTGAGTGTTTAAGTGGAAAAGGTATGTAGGAAGGAATAAGACTTTCTAGTTCCCCCTGGCACACTGAGGATCTTATCAGAAATTAAAATTGATGGTAGGGAAGGTGCTGAAAGAAATGGCGGACGAATGAAGGAGAAGTGTCCCACTGTGGTTACGGAGAAGGGCTTTGGAAAACAATTGCAAAAATAGCCACACTGCTTAATCATTGCTGAAGGATAACTGCCACCTCACTCGACCCTGCTTTCTCTGGAGTTTTCAGATCTGGCTGCCTGTGCTGGTGGCTGCCAGAGGTAGATGGGGACTCTTACAGAGAAGGCTCGTGGCTGGCCAGGCCCGCTGAGCATTTCACTACATGCCACAAATAGACATGCTGAGCAGTCACGGCTCCAAACAAGGTGCTTGGCAAAAGCAGCTGCCGCTTGGCAACCCTCTCGTGCCACTGTGAAATATCACTGCATCACCGGTGCTGTTGAGAGGGCAAATGGCCCATCAGGACGTGCGGGGGAGGGGGAAGAGTAATGACAGTGCCTCCCTCCACTTCTCCACTTCCCCCGTCGGTAGGTGTGATTGTGATTTCATTTCAACAACATATTAACAGATGCTATGCAATGGCTCTCACACGCAAAATACAGAACTATTAGAACAGAAATCTGGCTGCAAAATATGTGTGGGCTCACAGTGACCTGCTCTGATTTCTGCACCAACATTTGAAAGCACTAATTGACCTTTTGTGTCTTTTTTAAATTGAGATTAAAAACACTCTTGGGTTCTGGTTGCTGCAATTGTTTATCTCTTAAACAATAAAATACTTTCCATGTTAAGCTGGTCTCCTAAGGTAGTTTGAAAGAAGGTATAAATCTTTTCTACAATAAAAGTGCACATTACAGGTAGGATTTTCACATGTGCCCAGGACTGCTCTAACTTCTGTTTCTATTAAAAATGACAGAAAGTTGTCTTGAAACCACTGCAATAAAAAGTCAGTGAATTTTGAGTGATCCTAAAAGTTTCACCCTTTAGTCTTCACCACAAAAAGCATAATTAAGCTTATGTGGTGGGCGTTTAAATAGGGCAAACAAAAAGGTAACTCTGGATGTTTCATATACTTCAATATAAGTTTATTCTAGTATAAACATGTCCAAAAAATGTTTTGGCCTCCACAAACAGAGAAGGTTCACATTCCATCTCTCCATAAGGAAGTAAATATAACTGGAATAGACAGGTAAGCAGCACCTTCCCACACAATGTTTTACCAGCCATTCAAGCACAGTGAAAAATCAGTCTCTGATGGAATCTGTAGAAAGGGAGAGCAATATGTGAGTGTAAGACTTTCCTGTTATAAGTAATATTTCAAAAAAACTATTGTGTTTTCTTACTGCTGGTTACAAATCTTACCAAAGGAAGCCATGTTTTGTGTAACCAAGTAATGGCTTCTGAGTACTCTTTAAAACAACTGGTACTCTTTAAAACAATCATCTCTTCCTCCCCCACTACTATTTTTTTAATCCTATGCAGAGGGGAAAAACAAAACAACAGACAGACACAGTATCATGTATGAGAAGCTCATGATCTTTCCATGTGTTGCATGAGACACAGCATACTATTGGTTATTCTTAAAATCTGCACCTTGTGTAGTTGACTGTAATGTATACTTAACTACGGTAAATATACCGTATCCAAATTCTTCCAACTCTATACATTTTAAATATGCATTTACACTGATGCATTTCCTGTAACAACATTTAATAGCCCTATTTCCAATTTAAGAATAAGAAAAAAGTTCAGCTACTCAATACTATGGGCTGCACATCAAATGTCTCTGAGACACTCATCCTGAAAAGAATGATATTTTCAAGCCCAAAGAGACAAGATCAGGCCCACTATGCTCCAAAAAAGTGACAGGACAAGAGGAAATGGCCTCAAATTGCATCAAGGGAGGTTTAGATTGGACATTAGGAAAAATTTATTCACTGAAATGGGTGTCAAGCATTGGAGCAGGCTGCCCACGGAAGCGGTGGAGTCACCACTCCTGGAGGTATTTAGAAGTTGTGTAGATATGGCACTTGGGGACATGGTTTAGTGGTGGACTTGGCAGTGCTGGGTTATCAATTGGACTCGATGATCTTAGAGGTCTTTTCCAACCGAAATGA